AGGACAGGCCCATCCATGTCTTATAGCAACTCAGTATACTAAATTGGTCATGGGTCCATCTAAATGTTTCAACATCCTTACCCACTGCAGGCCCTCCCATATGTTGTGGTAATGCACTTACAGGCCTGTACATATGTTGCTCTCACTTTAGTCCCTCAGGCCTGTCCATGTGTACTGGCTAATCTATTTAGGCCAGCCCATTTCAGGGTCTATATAAGTGTTGGTGTTTTGGCACACAGGCTGCCCATGTGTTGTGACTAAATGTGACTACACTATGTGGATGCTGACTGAGAGGGGATGCTGAATGGGGAAAAGGTATTCAGCTGAAAGGACTCTGGAGTGATGATCTTCAATAAGATGTGCTCCTGGCACAAGTTGACAATGAGTTATGCAGGAGTGAAAGGATGACTAAGCATGGATTAGACTGCAGATGATGAATGGTGGTAGATAGACCCTTCTGAATGAGCCTCAACTACCAAGGATGATGATTGGGGGCAGATAGACTCTTCCAAATGAGCCTCAACTGTTGACAATGAGTTATGCACTGAGATGAGCTGAACTGACTGACTGGATTGCTTCTGGATTGCTTGGGTTGTAGCTAAGTACATGGGGGTTTATATACTGTGGGGGGATTGCAGCTTATGAAAAATGAGGCACAAATGCTTGGTAAGTAATGAGTAAGGAATGTAAGAAATGAGTAATCATGATGAGTAAGTGAGAAATAAAAAGTAAGCAAGCAAAGAGGATTGGTAAGTATTGGCAATGAATGAGTCAAAGATGGTCAAAACATCACAGAATGAGTCAAATAATGTCAGAAACAGAGTAAGTGCACTGATATCACATTAGGGGGTGGCAATGCATGTCAGGTCTTGATGGAGACATCATTAGATCCAAAAATGGCATGACAGATGGATGGTGTTTCCAGATAGGGAAGTATTAATTCCAGAATTGAAGGGCATGAGTCAGGCATCAAAGGGCTAGGGTGTTGGGGGTCTGTGGGGCAATGGGGGCATAAGTGATTGCATCTCCCACCCTTTCATCCTCTCAGCAAAGTTAACAAAAGCTTCATGAACAGGGCTCTGATGGAGGAGGAGGAGAAGGGGGGACATCTTCTGCTGAATCTTGCAGTAAGAAGGCCAGATGCACATCATACTTGTCATGGATGCAATAAGGGAGGCTGGAGAACAGTAGATTATGCTGCAGCTGTCACAATGTGGGGAAAGTGATGGACAAGATTGGAATAAAGACAGTGCAGGGAGCAGGGAGGAATGATCCATATGCTTCATCAAGTGGGGAGACTGAAATGCCCACATAAGACCTTTCCAACTGAGTGACAGACCTGAGGCAACCAAAGAATGTCCTTCTGGAAGTCATACTGACAAGGAGAACATGCTGACCAAGCTGCATGGGATGAGACAGGGCTGACAATGATGGGATGAACCAGAGGGCTTCAATGGAAGCTGGTGGGAATGCCTGATGGATATATATTGTCATGACTATGCATTTGTCCTAAGTCCTCACTCACTCCACATCCTTCTCTGCTGGTCATTCACTCATTTTGCACCAACTCTGCCCATCCTCTGTCAGTTACAAACCTTCTCCACTCTGACTGCTGTTGGACTTGTGTTGGTCTACCATTGGACTGAGCAGACTGTTCTCTGAGCAGTCATGTGACCTCCCTTCAGACTTCTCCCTGACAGTGTGCAGTCAGGTACTCTGCAGCATGCACACCACATGGTCCAGCACCTGGACTGTTTCCTTTTTTGGATGTTCTATATTACTTGTCATATGTCCTCCATCTTCCCTTCATTCATCACCTAGGAAGTTTTTACTTGAAAATTTATGAGTCTCTGTATGTCAGTTCCAATTCTGATTACTGTACCTCTGTAGTAAGTGTAAAAGCATGTACTGTACTCTGCTGTTCCTCAGTATGGATATTGACTTAGTTCCTACTCCCTCTCTCTCTGTCTTCTGTCTGTCAGAGTTACCTCTGACTATCTGTTGTCACACACCAAAGGTGTTGTGGACATGGTTACAGCTGACTCTGCCTAACTTGTCAACACTTCAGGTAAGCATTTTTCATAAGCATTTGGGCTGAATAGTTTCTCCAAACCATCCAGCCTAATAGCCTCCCAGACCAAGGTCTGCCCAGGGACATCTGGTCATGTCCCAGGGCTATGCAGATTTTTAGGCCCTGGGATAGATGGGATTTCCCACATAGCCATCCATTCAAATGCAATTATTTGGGATGTCCCAAGACTGCCTTGGGTGACTGGGGTCCCTACTCCTGAAAGTGCAGCTTATATTAGCATTGAAATCACTGCAGAAATCCTAGCCCCCTTGCTCCTCTGACAGATTTAATCCACAAAGTATCCTTTGACCTATACATCCCCTCCCATCCCACCATGCATAGTAGTATACAATAGTACTTTTCATGTACATCTTTGCAATGTGATTCTGCTGTATTGGGACATCTCACTAGTTGCCAGGGAGATGACCCACCTGAGCCTCCACATTTGCCTTGAAAATTGCAATAATAAATTCAATCAATTTGTGTCTATACCTCATGCAATTTGTACTGTATGAAGGAAGAAGTGAATGGTTTTTGAACACTTGTGTGACAAGCCAATATCTCAAAGTCCCCTGCATAGAACATGGTGTTGGTCACCTTTGCAACACCATCTGCAGAGGGCAGAATGTCCCAAATGAGCCTCTGAGGTTGTCATGGGGCATTGTGCTGGTCTGCAAAGGTAACTTAGGAGGATGTGCCATCATAGCCCTCTGAGGCTGGGATGGGACATCCCACTGTTCCCTCTGCCAAGCAGTGGGATGTCCCACAACAGCCTCTAATGCTATGTTGGGATGTCCCACCCTCCCCTTTGCCAAGCAGTGGGATGTCCCACAACAGCCTCCAAGCCTACATTGGGACATCCCACCCTCCCCACTGCCAACCAGTGGGATGTCCCACAACAGCCTCCAAGCCTACATTGGGACATCCCACCCTCCCCACTGCCAACCAGTGGGATGTCCCACAACAGCCTCTAAGGCTACATTGGGACATCCCACCCTCCCCTTTGCCAATCAGTGGGATGTCCCACAACAGCCTCTAAGGCTATATTGGGACATCCCACCCTCCCCTCTGGCAACCAGAGGGATATCCCAACACAACCTCTAAGGTGTTGAAGTAGTAATCTGCACTAATCCTACAAGCACCATAGAGAATCCAATGCAAGGTAGCTCCATGGTCAGAGCAGCTGCTTGACACTGAGAGGGTCCTGGCTCAATGCCAGCTCTGGTCACATTTTCATCAGGTTATGAGCTGCAGCTGGAACCCATGCATGCTCAGTACAATGGGTCATGCAGCATCCTTAGGAAGTCCAGATCATGTGAGTTACATGGACACAAGGTGGCTGACAGTAAGGCCTCCTGGAAACACAGCAGTAAATCCTGATCCATCACATGACACAAGGTCAAAAGGCAATCAGACCATTTGCATGACCCTAGGGGGTGTGCACTGTTTTTACACTCCAAAAGTGGCCAGATGAAGGGACCACATTGGAGATGGTGCATTCTGTGCATTAACTTCATGGAGATATGTTCCCACAGTGCTAGTCTAAGCCCCCAACTACTGACACTAGTACCCAGACCATATGGCTCAGTGGTTGCAGCACTTGGTAAACACCTAGGAGGTCACTGGTTCAATCTTAGGACTGGTCACATTTCATCAGTAGACCACTTTGTGAGCTGGTAGTCCTAGGGAATCTGTCCAGTGCTGGACAGCTCTGGACAGCTCTGGCCAGCAAAAGTGATTTACTGATGTTTCCTCATAAGGCTACTTTGGGACATCCCTCCTGTTGATGCACATTAATTATATTTCTTACACCAGTAATATCTTACATAAGCACAGTCATTTTGGCACATTATTTTTCCTTCATGCACCTCAGTCTTCTCCCAATAGAAGCCTGAGTATCTTCTCTCATTAGTCTGTCACTACTCAGAAACACCTCTTCAGAACCTCCCCCCCTCTGGCAACCAGTGGGATGTCCCACAGCAGCCTCTGAGCAAGTGGGGAATGGTGCATTGCTCTTCACATAGTCTTGTTCCCATGTCACTGGTTTACCCCCATGCTACTGATATTAGTACCTGGACAATATATATTTGCTCAACTGTTAGAGCACTGGTTATCACCTAAGAGGTTGCTTCAATCCCAGCTCTGGTCACATTTCCATCATAAGGCTACATTGGGACATCCCACTTCCCCCTCTGGCAGCTGGGGGTAGTGTTGCTGTGGCTCAGTGAGCTGTCCTCAGCCAAGGGCCATACCACATCTATATTATTGAGTATTAAAGTAATTATTGTGAATTTGGTATGTGGCAACACAAGGCCACATTTGGTAATAGTTGTCATAGTGACTAAGCTGCTTGTTGTTGAGCAGGTCAGCCTTTGGAGCTGAGCCACAGCAACACTAGCTGAGGCTATGTCCCAGAACACCCTCTTGGGTTATATTGGGACATTCCACCCCACTCTCCAGCAGCCAGTGGGATATCCCACAACAGCCTCTTAGGCTAAGTTGGGACATCCCACTGTCCCCCTTCTGAGGCTGGTGTGGGGCATCCCACCCTCCCCTTTGTCACCCAGTGGGATGTCCCACAATACCCTCTAAGGCTACATTGGGACATCCCACCCCCCTTCTGGAAAGCAGTGGGATTTCCCACAGCAGCCTCTAAGGCTACATTGGGATGTCCCACAACAGCCCCTAAGGCTACATTGGGACATCCCACAACAGCCCCTAAGGCTACATTGGGACATCCCACCCCCTCTCTGTCAAGCAGTGGGATGTCCCACAACAGCCTCTAAGGCTACATTGGGACATCCCACCTACCCCTCTGCCAACCAGTGGGATATTCTACATTTTACCCATGCATATGTCTTCAAACATGATGCTCAAAAAAAAATCTATTTAAACACACCAAATAGATTATAATATGTCTCTATCACCCTTATCTGTATTGAACTATTTTACTTGTAGATGATGGTGGATCCATATTCAGTAGGTCATTCTCCCATTCTTCTCCCCAACAGAATTCTTCCAATGGCATATCACTTTGTTGGTGATATTCATCTGCCAGGGCAAATTCTTCAGCAACACATAGTGACTCATCATCCATCGCTTCATCCTCATCCTCTTCACCCTCTGACTCCAATCCATCAAACCACTCCTCATTATTACCATCAATATATATAACATGACCACCCTGCACCATGCTGTGCAGTTCTTCATCACTTGCACCCCAGTTCTCATTAGGTGTTCCAGGATAGCCTCTAAGTTGCCTCTTCCACAAGATGCACAGACCTGCTAGTCTCAATGCTCTGCAGTCAAGTTCATATGTAAGATCAACATCTGTGTGTGTTGGTCATGGTAATGCAATGACACATGTCTCTTACCAGTACTCTGTCTGGTTTTCTGCACACAACCCCACTCTTCAGAAAACCACTCTGTCAAAGCTCTTCTTTCCTGCAACAGGTGCCTTTCCTCTTCTTCACAATGCCTCAGCTCAAGGAGTGATCTGATCCCTGAGCACACTTTTTCATCAGCTAACCTTGGGGGTAGTAACCCATCTGAATCATCCCCAAGGCCAATATCCTGCCAAATATCATCATCCACATCCAGTTTGAACAAAGAGTCCCTTGGGATCAGGAGTGGGGCTATTGACCCCTGGGGAGCTTTTCCCTTGTGTATGAGGCCCACAATTTGCAGACACAGATTATTGTAGCTACTGGCAAGCTTGGCTATTCCTGGTTCTCATTGTTTCACAGATGCTTCTGTGTGGTTTTGAAGTCTTTGTTCTTCAAGGCAAGTCAAATACAAGGGTATTCATGAATGATGACCTCTTACCACTGAGAGTCTGCCAATATGGGCATTCCAGTCTGTCCAGCTCAAACTTTTGTTGGTGCAGATGAGCTCTGATACATTTCTTGATTGCTAATGCATGCATGCCAAGCTATGGAACATGGTCTCAATTAGATGAAACCATGTAGAAAATACACTGCCACTAACTTGAAGATAAGCACTCTTTTGGATACTAGCAAGATTTGAATGCCCATTTATGCCTAGGGTTGCCCTCTGGTTCTGCAAAGCTTCTTTAAAACACTTAACCTTTTGATGACACTCTGCAATTTGGATATTCAAGCTTGTCATGTCAGCAACCCCATGGAGAAGATCTTTCTCCAGCACTTCTAGCTTGGCCTCATAATTTGCCAATGATTTCTGAGTTGCCATGATTTGCAATATCATATTCTCAGCAGCTTTAGAGCAGTGACCTAATTTGATGGTGAGCAGGAGTCATTATTTATATCAGCAGCTTACAAGGAGCTGGCTTTGTCTGTGCAAAGACTTGAGCAGCCCATTCAGCTTGAAGAGTTGGGATATCAACTCCACATCTCCTTAGGCCTCTGTTTGCAGCAGCCTTCTTTTCTTGGCAATGATTCCAGTGATGCAAAAGCCACTGGCCCAAACCAGTGAGACTCTTCATGTCCATGTGGCACACCTGGAATTCAATAACAGAGAGGCATTGATGATACTGAATAATATGTTAGCTTGAAACAGATGTGGCATACTGCACATATACCCCAGAAACTCAAAGAGATGGTATCAGCCCTTTGATTGAACTCCAAAAATGCTCACATCCCTCTCCATCAGATAGCCCAAATCCTTCACATTTTTGGGGGTGATAGATAAGCTGACATGCCCATTGATGACCAAAGGCATGAAATACTGAGATGGCAAAAAAAATATGTGGCAGAAATGACTTGAGAAAACCCCACTCCCTGCAGCCCTGTTCCAGTTGACAACCTATGTCATATAACAGCCCAATACAAAAATTATCTGGGAGATGGCCAAAAAGAGATTTGATGAGGGCAAGTGCATAATGTTGCCTCTCCCCAGCTGAAGTCATATTTGCAAGGTAAATGACACAATCATGACAACAGAGTAGGGCCATGACACCAGTATCTGAAAAGAACTGGGTACTTGCCTACACTGCCATCAGACCAATGGAGTCAGAATAAATGATTAAGACTCACTTTCTGGCACCTCTCATCAGCTGCAGTAAAGGACTCATTACAACCCTTCAGCACTGACATTGTTATCCTCATTCCCTCTTCAAACTCATCCTCCCCATCACCAAGATAATTCTTTTTCAAAGCCTGTCCACTCCTCCTTTGGGTTGAAGACTTTGACTTTGACAACTCATTAAATTCATGCTCCATAGCACAAATATCTTCTTGTGAAAGAAAGACTGTAGCTGTAGGGCTTACTGGATCCACAGTTCTGGGAACACAGCATGAAGGTTCAGCAGTCTGATGGTCAACAAGGACCATGAGATCACCCACATAGAGCAAGTTAGGAATCTGGTTCATCAGGGCAGTAACTCATACAGAGGGACCACACCTAGTAAGCTGTTTCAGTCGACAAAAAGATATCTATGAAATTTGGTCAGATGCATAAACTGTCTATGCAAGTTAGTGGTAGACGATGATCCTGCAAAACCAAGTTACAGGACTGTGACCAGGACACCAAATCCTGGTTGCTGTAAGGCAGCCCCAAGATGCCACCAGCACATCTCCAATAGTTAGCCTCCAGTGTAGAAAAGCAAACTGACCTTTGCACACAACTAGCCAGGGCGATGGGGAAAGAGACAGAGCAAGTGTGTGATGAACAAAATGAGATGGCAATTGTGGCATGCTATGAATATCATTCAGGAAACATACAGAGTAAAAATGGTATTGGGGAATGATGAAGGAGGTTACTCACTATTTGAACCATAACCACATGGTGCAGTTGGAATAAGGTGGGGAAGAAGGGGTGGACGACCAAAAGTATCAAAGAACAACTGTACATAAAATATACCCAACTTCTTTTCCATTGCCCAGACACATGATGATGACACTAATGGCATAATTGGCTCTGCCAAGTCCAAGGGGCATCCTGGCCATACAGCAAGTAATGCCCAGAGCTTCTCTATGTACTCCTGTTTTGATTGAAAGTCAGTCAAGCAGAGGCCTTGATTTTGCTGAGGGAAAGGCTCAGCACACATTGTGAGTTCTGAATCACCAGGGAAAATCTGCATAGAGTTCAGAAACAGCACATTCCTGCTGAGGTAAAATTGTACATACCTGCCAGATGTGATCAAGCTGCTCTGAATCCCAATTTGACCACAAGCTAGGCATCATCGCATGGTCAAGAGTGACCAACTTGAACTAGAAGTTGTGTTCATATAAATCTCATAAAATCTTGCTTTTTGTCATCTGATCAATGGTAGCAAGGTCTGCAAGGGAAATTGAAATATCCTGGAATTGTACATGGCTAGGTATGTCATGTTGGAGGCTGATGAGCTCAGGACCAAAGAGGGCAGCAGATTCACATAGTTGGTCACCAGAAAATGTGGATGAAATCTGCTTGGGAATTGTATTCAGGAAATCCCACCAGGACTGAGGGATAACAGGAGATGCATCTGAGGCAGAAAGACAAGTGATCCAACCCACTCGAGAGACTAGCCAATTCCTCAGGTACCTCTGCTGGTGATCAGAGGACTTGCCCCTCACAAACAGACCTGGGCTGGGAAAGAAGTAAGCTACCTTGGGTGCATTGGGACTAACCCTTTTTGCATCCTTATTCATGTCCTTCAGGGCAGTGTGCCATGTGGACATAGCAGGGGGAATAGCTGGATCACTGAGGTCTTCCCACAGTTTGGGATTCAGAACCACTAACAGCTTGGCTCCTCTTGAGCCTGCAGGGGGATCTGAGCAAAATGTTAAACACACTGAGACAAAATGAATAGGATATGTACATGGCTGATTATGTTGTCAAGCCCTGCACATCCTAACAGCTCCTGTACTTGAACTTGCACCACTGGAACTTGCAGCATTGGAAGCCATGGGACCTGTGCTTGTGGCAGTCAAGGCCACACCACTGCTGGTGCATGGTGGTTCTGGCCAGGGAGCCACAAATTGCTTGAGCCCAATCACTGGGCCTTGTCAAGTGTGCCTGTGGTGCGATTCACCAGGGTGGTACCAGGCACTGTGCCATTCCAGCATCTGCCCAACCTCAAAAACCTCAGGATCCATGACTATGTCATGAGGGCATGTAATCTCAATCATCTTCAACACTTGCATGTCTGGGGGTACACAATCAGGTTTCCAGACCATCCAGACAGGCACACGTATTTTGAAAAGGTGCTGGCAAATGTCAGGGTCTGTTGTGAATGCCCCAATCCAGTGGTCAAATGAATTGACAAAAGTGCCCATAGCAGGGTCAAGGTCTGTGTCCAGATATTCTAGCATGCCAAAGATGTCTAGGAGGAGGCATTGACAAAAAGCAACCAATATGACTGTGTCTCAAAATGTAAATGAGAGTTGCTAGAGAAAATTTTAATTAACAAAATCTGAACCAGAAAAAAATCATACCTTCAGATGCAGGAGACATCACTGACATGACCCCAGCCACAAATTGGGTCTCAGAGGACCTTTGTAGTGGGGGTGCTTCTTTAGCCAATCTTGCATATGTTCATCTAGTCAATTATAAACAGTCTCCATCAACTTGCACTTGTCAGCATGAATCCTGCCAACTTTGAAGGCAGACCCTCTTTCCAGCACAAAATCCTCTGCTGACTGGGTGATGTTCCACCACAGCCACTTCCACATTGGGTTGTCTCCATAGGCCACTTTCCAAGGGACACATGGACTCCATTTGTAGCATTCTGCAAACAACTGTGGCCATTGAAAACAGTCTATATGGCTGAACCATCCCTCATGTAGGGGTGTGATTGTTTCTCCATTGAAGATGAAGGGTTGGGGAACATAGTCAGTGTTCAGCAACATGATCCAGTGGTCATCACACTTTGCTAGGATGTGTGCATTGAATGCACCCCATCTCCCTGAAAATAATGATAATCAATTTGAGCTGAGTTAGGGACAGCAAGAATGCACCATCACCAGGGTGGTTGTGCAATGATAATTCATAAGGGCAAATGCTAGCTACATTCATCCTGGAAACAAAAGAAGTCAGTCAGTACTTACTTAAATTGATGGAGATGATGACAAGGGGAGAAAAAAATGAATCATGCAGTGTTAAGGCCAGTGTAACTGAAATGAAATAAGAATGTTGCCCTCAATAGGCCCCAAGCCTATTGAGAACTCATGAGGCACCAAACCCCAGAGCACTTGGCAGACAAATGCTCCAAATGTTTGGCTCCAAGTACAGCAGAAGTTGACTGGATGTTTGAAAGAAAAGTATAAATGAAAGAGAATAAAAACTTACTTTCAAAAAATGTCTTCTTGACAAAGAGGTGATGATGATTGGTGTATTGACTCTGCATGTGTATAGACTATGTTAATGCCTGAATTTCGATGAAGAAACACCCCAGAAACTGTGAGGATAACTCTTGATAGGCCCCAAGCCTATCAAGAACTCACAGGCACCAAACCCCTGAGACCTGACAGATGAATGCTCCAAACATTTGTGGAAAGAGTGACTGGGCTGTCTGGAAAAGTAAGATGGAAAAGATAGAGGGAAACTTACCTTGCACTGAATTGGTTTATATGAGAGGGGTGTCGGTGACTCAAAGTAGTAGGTAGCACTTACTAGTAGTAGTGAGAAATATTATGGGTACTGCTGTGCATGTGACCTGCACCACAAATGAATGCAATGCCTGACTTACAGTGTGCTCAAGGAAGACATTGAGTCTAGGCTCTAAATTGTCAAATAATCAGGTGATTAGATATAAGTTTTGTGTTCCATATTTCATTCCTCAATGTTCCAGACTGCCTATTGTAATATTCAGGGGAGATGCATTCATGCATTACAGTATTGACATGTTGATAATCTACTTATAGCAAGTCCTAGTCACAAGTACTAGTGTGCCATTGCTACTTTGTTAATAGATTTGGCCACTTTTACCAATGTGACTAAAGTTTCAATGAATGACAGAATTTTAACATGTCATTTCACAATTGCACAATTGTTACATCATCACAGCTGAAACAAACATTCACACCACCTGCAGCTAGTACTTAGGCAACACTCTCATCTTCTGTATGCTGTCTGCATGGTATTGGGGGAATGCTCAGTGCATTCCTCTACCATATGTCAGGGGCTTGGTCACCCTTGACAGCCTTGAAGGCTTGGAGCCTTCAAGGGCAGTCTTGGTGTCCAGTGGATCTGACAATCAATCACATGATGACAGTCAGACCAACCCTCATCTTTCAGCAACATTAATGAAGGTTTTGCAGGTCAGTGCTCTCAACTTAAGTTATGCATCATTATGCTTCACAGTCTACTGACCCATTTACCAGCACATACTATGTGTACTAGGTCCATCATTCTCCCCACCTCCAGCTGCACTCTGTTGTTCTGCCTGGCCAGTATATGCCTTCTATAGCAACACCCTTGTCTCCCCACTCATCTACCCTTGGTACAGCTTCAGTGATTGATTGCATAGATGATAGTGCAGTTCTCCCCTCACCTTTTAGTCCTGAAGATTCGAGTTAGCAACACATCCATTCATATTTATCCCTGCTGATCAAATACATGGCATGTTCCTCTACGGTATTGGAGACTTGGTGCGATGTTACCTTCAAGGGCAGTGATTCTGATTGTCAATCTCAAGTTCTCCTTTCTACTATGAATTTTCTCCAGGTTGCCTCATGATCAACCATGCAAAGTTCTAATGTGGGTACATGGTTAGCTTTTCAGTGTATCTTATCCATTGATTTCTGCTACTTCCTCCAGGGTATTACAAAGAGTTATGTCACATCTAAGTGCATGATTCATTGTGGTTGAACTTCAGGTTTTCCCACAATGGCTTCCAATAAATGGGGAAAGGGAATGAGGTAGCCTTCTGCTGGAGATCTGCTGTCATACTTACAATTCTCTGCACATTCACTCTCCAGCCTTTCCTTCCCATTCCCTGACCCACCATGTCCAAAATACCTTCACCCAGTACTGGATTGGATATAAGCTCTAGCAACCTTAGTACATGTTTTTCTGACTAACTCCTGATTGCTAACATGTTTTGGCACAGGCACTCTAATTACTCTGATCAGAAACCTTGAATTGAATGCAGCAGATGCTGAAATGCTAGCAAGCACTTTGTTACTAAGATCTTGCACTGAAGGTGAGTATGTTCTTAAGTGACATATCTGGACTGATCATATTGCAGCCTTCATAGGGTCATCTGACTCACAACCCACATACCCCACAGCAGCATTATGCCCATCAAGTCTGGGGGTTTCAGGATTGTTGTCCCACAAGAGTGTACACCTGCCACCATATCCCCCTTGATCCCCATTTATGCAGAATTTCCCACACTGCCAGTATTGATACATCTAACACCACCTAACTTGACTGATCCCTCCACTATTCTTGTCTGTGGCCACCCAGATCATGATGCAAGGGTTCCATATCTAGTGGATGACTGCATGCATACTCCCACCAGAATTTCTTTTACCATATCCATGTAAAGACTAACAGCTATTGTGTTATCTGTTGGCAAGTATTTCTTGCAGCAGTCTCCAATTTATTACTATGAAGTATAAATCCTCAGGCCACATATTGTGTATGGCAGCCTGACTGTGAGGCAAGTCGCAACTTGGCACTTTCCATCCTTCATAAATTTCTACCATTCAAGCTCTACCACTTAGCAGTGGTACACTTGGAGCATCTCTGCTAAATGTCATGGGCTTGGTGCCCTTGACAGCCCCTGAAGGCTTGGAGCCTTCAAGGGTGGTCCTGGTGTTGATCCAGTGATCAATTGCACAGACAACAATGACCCTCATTGCTCAGTACCAGAGATTCATTTCAGCAACAACTTCACCCAAAGGTCATCATAGCTCCAACATTTGGTCTACATTATTTGCTCAATTTGGCTATCAATCATGTGAAAGGGACTGTGTCTATTGGACTCCATCAATGCTGCTCTCATCAGTGACTGCCCTTAGGGGCTTGAACGATTCATTTTCTGTCTAGTAAGCCCATTCCTTTCTCTATTACTGGACACTGATGAACTCTTGTGGTTTTTCAGTCCTGAGGAAACCCACTTTCTGGGTCACACAGATGGAATACCACCATTCTGGATTTTGATTGGAATTCCACCCATATGTTTCCATTTTGATAGGTGTGTCATCCTCACTACACATTACAACCACTTCTTTCCTGCATGCTTTTCCTTCATCCCCCTTACATCATGTCCTCTTTTCATGGTTTCATATGTCCTTGCTGATGCTATATCCAGAAATTTGCACACTGAGACAACATGTTCTAGATGGATTTTTTTTTCCATGTGGTTCATCTTGGCTTGATGTGCTCTGACCTTAAATACTCACCTTGCCTCCCCCTGTTTCTCAACACCTCCATACAATGATGCCCTGCTCTGCTGATATCCTGGAGCCTGTGAGGGACTCTGTTGCTGACTTGAACAGTCATGTTCTTTGCAACCAAAGGATTCTGTCCTCACAAAATGCCCCAGTTTCCAAACAAGTACAAAAGGTGGTGCTGTTGTCTCTAATGATGGAGTGCAACACTCAGAGGTACATCTTGTAGTATATTTCTCATCCATTACTCTAACATCATTTTCCACTCATGTCAATCTACTCTGAAGGATATGATTGGCAAACCAAAACCATGGCATGCAGTCCAGCCTCCCAAAGGCTGGGAAGAGCACATGTTTGGCCTGAGAGATAGAAGACACTCCTTGACACCTTGTCCTTCCATTGTGAACACCCCAATGCTCCCTTCCCCTTCCCTGCACCTGGATGACCAAATCCATGATGAGGACTCTGCAATGGAGGAGGTGGAGGAGAATCCTGACAACAATGAGAATGAGGATGACCAGCCTTCCAGTAATGAGAACAAGGATGATCAGCTGTCTGCTAGTGAGAACAAGGATGACCTGCCATCTGGTAGTGAGAAAGAGGATGACCAGCTGCCCAGTAGCAATGATGATGACAAGGGTTCTGATTACAATGAGAATGATGACAAGGAGATGGAGAGCTCAAGTGACTCCCATGGTAGGTTTTTCCATTTTGTATCCCTTGTTCTCTCATGTTTTTTTCAGATAATTCTCATTTCTTTTGATTTCAGGGTTTGGTGCCTCTCTGGTCATGCAACAGTGGGCTTGGTGCCCACTTGTGTTTCAAAGCTTGGTGCATTGGATACTTGTGACCATTTCCTGCCACCCATCATTCCCTTGGTTGTTATATAGATAAAGAATTGTTGTGATCCTGTTCTGTTACTATCTATATATGCATCTGCCTTGTGTTGACATGTTGACTCCTAGATGATGATGATGCACATGCTTGCAATGCTCAGACCATTTCTTGTGCCCAGTCCCCACTTCCCCTGTCCTTGCCACCTGCATACAAGTCTGATGACTCTGCCCATCCTGTAGGGGATGTTGTCCATCCTTGCCAAGAGGGTGGCCCAATCTATACTAGACTTCAGAAGAAGGGCAAAGGTAGGGCTATAGATGCTGAGGACATTGATGCTGCAAACCACTGTGACCATGACACCCAACTCCTGAACCTCAAGAAGCTGGGGAATCTGTCCACAGCAGCATTAGATGAAATATGTGCTTTTGTGAAGGATGTCAAGATGATGGCAGAAGAACTTGGCCAACAGCACAGGCAGTCTACATGTGACATACTCATCACTGTGGGATTTAGTGTTAGGGCTTCTCATACCAAAATTAATGAGGCCAACCTCTTCCACTCATGGTATTGGGCCACACAGCCCAAACAAGATGGTGGTATGGCTTTCCTCCCTCTCACATCTACCATTCTAATGTCCTGACCAGCTGATCAAAATTCAATCAACAATTTGATTATGAAGGAGTACAACACCCTCATGATAGGCATCCCCAAGGATGACTTCATGGCAAGGAGGGAAAAGTTAAAAGCCATCTATGAGTGGAGTGAGAGCTCCTCTGCCATACTGACTAACCAATCTGTCAAATCTATTGCAGCTAGAGTGGACAATGCAAAGACACAATTTGTCAACTGGCCCCACAGTGTATCTCCACTGGGCCCTGGTTTCAAGTACAAGAAACTTAAGGCTGGCCCTCTTTGTCAACTTGTAGTACCTTACCTTCAGAGAAGACTGGGTCTTTTGTATGATGGGCAAACTGATGATGAGGAAGAACAAGATAGTCTGGATGATGGGCAAACTGATGATGAGGAAGAACAAGATAGTCTGGATGATGTGCTGGAAATTGAGATTAAGTGCTGGAATGAAGGTATTCCCTATTTTATTCATCCAGTTGGATGCTGAAGTTCTGTGTAGAGGTCATCATATTTTGGATGCTGACCCTTTGAAGGGTGAGATCGCACTTGTCAAAGCTACCCATGGTACTGTTTTGCAGCAGATCTCAGATGATCCAGAGTGGCAGAAGTCCCTCAAGGAAATGGATCACTGGCAGCAGGGCACAGAGGTCCTTCGACAGCCACAACCCTGACCACAGCAACAACTCCCTTTTCCCATTCAGAAGTGACCCTGTGTGGAGGCATCAAATCACAATACTATTGGTCTCCAGGTGAGTTCTGCTCTTTACTTGATATCCAGTATCTGCTGATGTTCACAAGGCTTTACAGTCTGACCATCAAACTGCACCATGTGATCAACACCAGGATGTGTGCCCCATTATGCAAGATTTGCATCATGACCCATCCACAATTCCAAGCAATGTGCACACTCGAGAGCCTGGCCCATCTGAGCCTCCTGTGCCAGCTCCACAATATGGGGTAGGGTTTGGTTCCTATGGTCTGATAACAAGACTAATGAAGCATCATATAGGATCTACATCAGGATAATCTTCCAACTCATCCTCACATACAAGAGGCCAGCCCAGCCCAGCAGTCTTTTTCCAGACAACAAGTGAGTATCCATGTCTCTGACCTTCGGTAACAAGACTAAGGAAAAATTATGTAGGATTCTTGGGGTGACCATACAAACTGTCATGATCCTGGCCCATCTGATATCCCATATCATGTGAGTAATTCAATTTTGCAGAGGTTTCACCATCAACTTGCACTCTCTCGAGGTGTTACCTTCTGGCCACTGCAATCAATTTCCTCTGTCTTCCCAAGGATTCCATCATGTTCCATCTTGAACCAACCATCCTTACTACAACAGTCCATATACCAATGACTACTACCCTCCAACCCAGTTGGGTGAACCTCATTGGGTTAACAGGGGTAATGCTGCACAATATGAGGATGACTTTGTTGAGGAGTATATAAATGAAGGTTACTACTAGTGTAGTTTTTGCTTCCCCTACAACATATTTGTCATGTACCACTTGTATATTGATGTCACTGGTGTCAGCAATGATGTTACCATCAGATTCAGGGGACAAGTCTGCAGCTCTCCACTCAGTCCTGTGCCTTTCCTATCACTTTTCACACCACTTGTTCCCCTCACTGAGACCTCTCTGGGGGGGCCTCTTTTGTCTAATTCCATGGAGCTGCTATTGAGATATCACCATTTTTGTGTTCAGAGGGCAGTGAAACAGTTTCACATGTAGCTCAGGATCTGATGGTCTGATCATGGTGGCTCTTTTTTTTCCATGTTTATCTATGAGTACCCAACCTCCTTCCTGAGGCCTGTGTCAATCACCCCAGCCATTGTCCTGAGGTTGTCACCTGCTTGTTCACTTGCCTGGAGTTACCCCTATCATCTTGGGGCTGCATCAGTAGACCACTTTGTGAGCTGGTAGTCCTAGGGAATCTGTCCAGTGCTGGACAGCTCTGGACAGCTCTGGCCAGCAAAAGTGATTTACTGATGTGTATCTTGGTGGTTTCTCTAACATGTCTCTTGCTTTTTTGCAGACTTGGACTACTAGATAACAACTCCCTGGAGATGTCTAGATCATTGTGATTGGTGCAGTAGTTATGGAGATGTTCACATTTTTGTGGCAAGGCCCACCCCTTGAGGTCCTCTCATTGTACCTCATGCATATCTGCACTGCTTCTCTCGCTTTTCAAGCCACAAATCCCTCTCACTAACCCATTTCCAGGGTGCCATTGTTCACCCAATTCTGCTTGCTTGTTGTTGAGATATTCCTGCTTTTGTGTTTGAAGAGTTTCAAGGCAGTTTAGCATATACCTCAGGATTGGGTGATCCAATTGGCATTTTTCCTCTTTCTCCCTGATTGCCTGGGAGTCCTCTACTGCATCCCATAGTTTTGTGTCAGTCGCCCCAGCCATTACTGTTACATTTCAGTACTGGCCACTTATCAACTCTTTGTCAGGGGCAGTCCAGGGTCAAATCACATATGGTATCAATGTCCATCACATGTCCATTGCTGTTAGGCACTGTACATGATGCCTCAATCTATATATACAATTCCTGCAGTCCTAGCTACTGTGTTTGTGCATTGTTGCTCCTCATGTTACAGCTATTTTCAAAACTGAGAGCAAGGCCAAATAAACAAAATCACACACATGTAGTAGCTAAATGTTATAGCTTTGATATCTCAATCAATTTGAGTCAGATCACCGCAATTTTTGCAGATTCAGAATCAGGGAAATTAGATGTAGGTCCTGGTGTAAAAATTAGACCAGTTCTAGCACTATGTATGTCTGAAAAAGCATAGGCTGATTTCACATATACAATCAAAATTGCAAGTGATCTAGGCATCTGTACACCTTAGCAAACCAATAGTGGTATTCTGTACATCAATTGTCCAGCAGGCTTTCAATGTTTTTTGGACAGTAGAGAGCCCTCTGCTTCCAGATGTTCATTGCACATACAAGTAAGATTGGAAGCCTATTATTGCATATTTCTTCACACAAGATTCATATCCTTGGAGCCCTGTGTATCATCTAGAGAACAGTACCAAAAATTTATGCAATTATGCAGTGTGTTGTTGTGATTGGAAGTTCTACACCTAGTATTGTCTTATCTACACTTGGTGGCTGCTTACCAATCATGTGCTACCCCCTACCTATGTCCCCTTGCCTCACATCTCAAGACTTGCTTCAAATAAAATCATAGTAGAAGGACATGAGATTGAGAAATAATACAACACTTGAGACCTGCAGAGTATGATTGCTGGATACAATTTGAATAGCATTCTTTGGGTGCCATGACTATTTCAAGCAATGATATGTATAGGACATTTGGAGCACAGCATTGAGTGAACCTGATTATGTCAGCAACTACTCATACATATGGCTACACCCACTCAAATGCAGTTATTCACTGCTCACTGTTCATCTGGTCACTGACTTTTCATCTCTGCACATATTTTTTGGTACTGTTCTCTAGAAATTACACAGGGCTCAAAGGATATGAATCTTGTGTGAAGAATTATGCAATAATGGGCTTACAATCTTGGTTATATGTGTAATGGACATCTGCAAGGCAGACCTGTGTCTCATTTCCCTGATTCTGAATCTCCAAAAATCATGGTGATCTGACTTGAACTGATTGGTGCCATTGATTGAGCCTGTTACAATGTGACAATATATATCCCAATTGTGGGCAGAGGGCAATGTGGATGTCAGACATACAGGGTAGGATGTCCAACATTTGCCTCTGTGGCATTTGTATAACATCTCACTGGTGTCCAGAGGGGGAGATGGGATGTCCCAACATAGCTTGAGAGGCTGCTGTGGGACATCCCACTGGTTTCTGGAAGGGGGGATGGGATGTCCCAACATAGCCTGAAATGCTGTTGTGGGACATCCCACTGGTTTCTGGAAAGGGGGTTGGACTGCTTGCCAGAGGGGGGGAGGGATGTCCCAAAGTAGCCTTATGAGGAAAATGTGACCAGTCCTAAGATTGAACCAGTGACCTCCTAGGTGTTTACCAAGTGCTGCAACCACTGAGCCATATGGTCTGGGTACTAGTGTCAGTAGTTGGGGGCTTAGACTAGCACTGTGGGAACATATCTCCATGAAGTTAATGCACAGAATGCACCATCTCCAATGTGGTCCCTTCATCTGGCCACTTTTGGAGTGTAAAAACAGTGCACACCCCCTAGGGTCATGCAAATGGTCTGATTGCCTTTTGACCTTGTGTCATGTGATGGATCAGGATTTACTGCTGTGTTTCCAGGAGGCCTTACTGTCAGCCACCTTGTGTCCATGTAACTCACATGATCTGGACTTCCTAAGGATGCTGCATGACCCATTGTACTGAGCATGCATGGGTTCCAGCTGCAGCTCATAACCTGATGAAAATGTGACCAGAGCTGGCATTGAGCCAGGACCCTCTCAGTGTCAAGCAGCTGCTCTGACCATGGAGCTACCTTGCATTGGATTCTCTATGGTGCTTGTAGGATTAGTGCAGATTACTACTTCAACACCTTAGAGGTTGTGTTGGGATATCCCTCTGGTTGCCAGAGGGGAGGGTGGGATGTCCCAATATAGCCTTAGAGGCTGTTGTGGGACATCCCACTGATTGGCAAAGGGGAGGGTGGGATGTCCCAATGTAGCCTTAGAGGCTGTTGTGGGATGTCCCAATGTAGCCTTAGAGGCTGTTGTGGGATGTCCCAATGTAGCCTTAGAGGCTGTTGTGGGACATCCCACTGGTTGGCAGTGGGGAGGGTGGGATGTCCCAATGTAGGCTTGGAGGCTGTTGTGGGACATCCCACTGCTTGGCAAAGGGGAGGGTGGGACATCCCAACATAGCATTAGAGGCTGTTGTGGGACATCCCACTGCTTGGCAGAGGGAACAGTGGGATGTCCCATCCCAGCCTCAGAGGGCTATGATGGCACATCCTCCTAAGTTACCTTTGCAGACCAGCACAATGCCCCATGACAACCTCAGAGGCTCATTTGGGACATTCTGCCCTCTGCAGATGGTGTTGCAAAGGTGACCAACACCATGTTCTATGCAGGGGACTTTGAGATATTGGCTTGTCACACAAGTGTTCAAAAACCATTCACTTCTTCCTTCATACAGTACAAATTGCATGAGGTATAGACACAAATTGATTGAATTTATTATTGCAATTTTCAAGGCAAATGTGGAGGCTCAGGTGGGTCATCTCCCTGGCAACTAGTGAGATGTCCCAATACAGCAGAATCACATTGCAAAGATGTACATGAAAAGTACTATTGTATACTACTATGCATGGTGGGATGGGAGGGGATGTATAGGTCAAAGGATACTTTGTGGATTAAATCTGTCAGAGGAGCAAGGGGGCTAGGATTTCTGCAGTGATTTCAATGCTAATATAAGCTGCACTTTCAGGAGTAGGGACCCCAGTCACCCAAGGCAGTCTTGGGACATCCCAAATAATTGCATTTGAATGGATGGCTATGTGGGAAATCCCATCTATCCCAGGGCCTAAAAATCTGCATAGCCCTGGGACATGACCAGATGTCCCTGGGCAGACCTTGGTCTGGGAGGCTATTAGGCTGGATGGTTTGGAGAAACTATTCAGCCCAAATGCTTATGAAAAATGCTTACCTGAAGTGCTTGTTGATGAGTTGCATGCAATGCCAATGCCCATGCCATGCAGATGAAGACTAAAGGCCTCATGTGTAGAAAGACTGCTGGATGTTAGTAGTCATCCTTTGCACAAGAACAAGTTGTCAGTGCTAAAGAGCAAGGAGGAAGCAAGTTAAGCACACATTAAAGGTTTTAGCATCTGTGTATGGCATTCCAGTTTTTGTCATATCTCCACCATTTCCAAAGATATTGACTCCATTCTCACACTTGCTTACAGTGCTCAGCCATGTGATTCTGCCTTCCAAATTTGGAGAGGATCCTCACACCCCACACATTTCTACAGCACTCCATCCATCAGACGCTCATTTTGCCAAGTCCATCAGAAATGGCCACCTCTTCATCAATCATCTTGCTTGTCTCATTTTCCAGAGACAGTGGCTATGTATATCTGCCAGGTGTTCCCACCAGCTTCCATCCTGAAGCCCCCTGGTTCATCCCATCATTGTCAGCCCTGTCTCATCCCATGCAGCTTGGTCAGCATGTTCTCCTTGTCAGTATGACTTCCAGAAGGACATTCTTTGGTCACCTCAGGTCTGTCACTCAGTTGGAAAGGTTGTATGTGGTCATTTTGGTCTCCCCACTTGATGAAGCATATGGATTGTTCCTCCCTGCTCCCTGCACTGTCTTTATTCCAATCTCATCCATCAT